TTATAATCAATGTAATGAAACAAGTTATATGAATTGTTGAATGTGAAACTGATGATGCGCCCTGTAAACTTTCACTCAATCCACAATAAAAATCTTAAAAAACAAGTTGGCTGGAATGGACAGGTATTGGTCATTTTTAATTTGATTATCATATAGTTTGCTGTATTGGGAAAGAAAATTTGAAGAGGAATGGTATTGCATTTATCATTAAAAAGAGCATTTCAAAATTTATCTTGAAGTAGATGCTGTCTATGATAGGGTAATACCCATACACGTACAAGAAGACCATTACTACTCAAATTTTTCCAACCACTAAAGCCACAGATGATGAAATAGAAGAATTCATGATATATTCATATATATGTTGTTGCTGTGATGTGCCGTGGAGTCGGTTCCGACTCATAGCGACCCTGTATAGGGTTTCTGAGGCTGTAAATCTTTACGGGAGCAGAAAGCCTCATCTTTCTGCCACATAACAGCTGGTAGTTTCGAACTGCTGACCATGAGGTTTGCAGCCCGATTCGTAAGCACTACACTTATTATCCATGTATATAGATATTACTGTATCCCCTGCTATTCATGAGGTTTTTGGTGGCTAACTATTCAGAAGTAGCCCTTCACTCCTTCCTAGTCTCTCTCAATGTGAAAGTTACAGTGAAACCTGTGTACTGTAGGTGGACCTGGTATTTAAAATACTGATGGCATAGCTTTTAGCATCACAGCAATATGCAAACCACCAGAGACTGACAAATGAGTGGTGTGTTTTTTGTTTTTTTCTAGAATTTATATGAAAATGTCTTCTATAAATTCTAATATGTGAAATTGGAATGAAATGTACTTTGTTTTGGCAATTAGCTTAATTCATTTTTGTAATTTTTCATTTTTCTAGAGAAAAGGCAAAGAACCTACAGAACACATTCCTGAAGTAATTCTGAATAATTTTACAACACGGCTAGGTCATTCGGTTGGGCGCATGTTTGCGTCTCTCTTTCCCCATGACCCTCAGTTTATCGGAAGGCAAGTTGCTACATTCCACAATCAACGGGATTATATTTTCTTCAGATTTCACAGGTGAGCAATGTGCTTCAATTCCTTGGACTGTGACTTCAATTAGAAAATACATTTTCAACATGAACCTGTTTTTCTAATATAAAGTATCATAGATGAGAAAATTAATTTGGATTCGTCCCTCTTCTTTATCCTTAAAGATACATATTCAAAAGTGAAAAGAAAGTGGGAATTCAGGAGCTTGGACCACGGTTTACCTTAAAATTAAGATCACTTCAGAAAGGAACCTTTGATTCTAAATACGGAGAATATGAATGGGTTCACAAGGTATGTGCTTACTGCTTGAAAACTACTAGTAGATCATTTTTTAAAGTACTGGACAAAAAGGTAGCCATGTACGATAAACCTTTGGTACTCAAACAGGTAGTGCCCGGATATGAACATCTGCTATGGACAACTTGCTCTTTAATACAGGACTTCAAACTGGTTCTGTCATAGCTGACAGCAAAACAGTAACAGACCAGAATTTTCACAGCTTGGGTGGTTCATCGTGGAAATCCAAACAGGAAACATGGGTTGAAGCTCTCGAATGGGAGACGAGGAAGAGACTTAGTGAGTCCTTTTAGGTGCTGCTTCGTGATACTGGATTTTTGGCAGGACTGTGGCAAGCTGCACACATTTAGAGTGGTTGGTTGATGGCTATCTTTTAGCAGGGTACAACCATCTTTGAATCCTGTTTTAATGTTGTGAAATTGTCCTCACTTTGAAACAATTGAACCAATGCCAACTTAACTCCTCCTTGCGACAAGTTCATCAGTCACCTTCACTTGCTGCATGTGTAGCTTTTAAATCATTGAAAATGCTTTAGCGTTTCTTGTACTAACCTAAAGCAAATAACCGTATGCACCTTCCAACTGAGCTGCAAATGCTTAGTCACACTTAGAAACTGGTCTCTTTCAGAACCCAGGAGCCTGTACTTTGGAGCATTTCCCATTACTAGATAAAAATTATCTCCTCTGTGGTGTTAGGGTCTGCTGATTAACCTTGGTGGTGCAGACAGATAAGTGTGTGACTATTAGCTGAAAGTTTGGTAGTTTGAACCCACCAGGGGTGTCTTAGAAGACAGGCTTGGCAATGTTTAAAAAAGTCATTGCCTTGAAAACCCTATGAAGCAGTTCAACTCTGTACACATGGGGTCCCCATGAGTTATAATCTTAATAACAACTAACATTTGAAGGAGTTCTGGTAACATAGTGGTTACAAATCGGGCTGCTAAACTCAAGGTCAGCGGTTCAAAACTACCAGCTGTTCCATGGGAGAAAGATGGGGCTCTCTGCTCCCATAAAGATTTACAGCCTTAGAAACCCCCATACAGAGTTGCTATGAGTTGGAACTGACTTCACGGCACATAACCACCACCACCATTTGAAGTAACCAAAATTTCAGTGGTTCTCAAAGTTGGACCATAAGCATCAGCTTAGAACAGGTTAAGAATGCAAATTCTTGGGCCATAGACCAAAAGATCAGAAACTCTGGGGTTGGGGCTCAGCATTAGGCATTGTTTTTTGAGAACTGCTATAGTTATAATGGTTTTGTAGAAGTTGACAATCATGATACTAAATTATGAATGGAAATCTATTACGGAACATACTTTTCTGTTAGCAACCAATATTTTGGAGTCTTGGTATGATGCTGCAGAGGTTAGTGTGCTGAAGTTCAAGGTTGGTTTGAACCCCAAGGGTAAGTGGTTCAAGCTCACCAGCCACACCTCAAGAAACCCTATACAGGGTTGCTGAGTTGGAACCAACTCCATGGCACTTAAGAAAAACAATTATTTCACTTAAGCAACACTTTTACTTTAAAATTATATGGAACAGGAACTTCTAAGACAAACCCCCAGTTTCTCTCAGCATGCATTGTGAACTATATATTTAAAACCTAAGGAAGTTACGTTTCATTCTTTCTTACCCATAAAATGAATAACCATTCTTTTTGTTTGTAGCCCCGGGAAATGGATACAAGTAGAAGAAAATTCCATTTATAGAAGTACTGGAAGAAAAGTATTGGATTTTGCTTAAGCAGATCTATCTTAAACTTGGTAAAAATTTCTGACAGAAGATCCTTTAAATGTCATTTATTGATTTCATAAACTTTCATATGTGGAAGAATTACAGAGTGTCATAAACTGCCAGTATGTTTATGTAGCAAATATGAATAAAAGTCTTCTAAGGGTGAGGGTTTAAAAGTTGCAATTTAGGTTCCCTAAATTTTTTTCATTTTTGGGCCATTGTGAATATGGTAGAATGAAGAGTCAAACTACCTTTCCCTTTTTGCATTTTCATGGTACATGTGGTCTATAGAGAAATAAAATGCTTGATGGTACTGTACGATAATCACTGGAACGTAAGGTCGGTTTAAACCTCAAGGCTGGGAGTTCAAACCCACCAGTCGTTCCTTGGAAACCCCATACAGGGTCAGCCTGACTTGATGGCACTTGAGAAAGATACCTTGTAACCCACTAGTTATGTACCAGACTTAATTTTTTAGAACCCATTATTTGGCACATTGTTTCAACCCCATGTTTCATGCATGAATGAATACTGGAGGCCAGATTTCGGGGGCACATTAATCTTCCTTTTAAACATTTCAGTGGTGTGGCACTGTAGGATGAGCACTAAACTACTAATCACAAAGTTGGCAGTTCAAACCCACCAGCCACTTCTCAGAAACCCTACACAGGGTCACTGTGTGTCAGGACTGATTTGATGGCACTAACAAACATTTCACACAGAAAAAAGACCTAACAAATCCACTGCCATCAAGTCAATTCTCTTAGCAACCCTAAATAGGGTTTCTGAGGGTGTAAATACAATCAGGAGTAGAAAAGCCTCATCTTGCTTAATGGAGCAACTGGTGGATTTGAACTGCTTACCACATGATTAGCAGTCGAGTGCTTATCTTACAACTCCCATTTCAGAAGGGTGAAAACAACGCAAAATGATTTACTAAAGATTTACAGCAAGGCCCTGGTGGCCCAGTGGATTAAGCAATGGGCTGATAATCACAATGTCAGCGGTTTAAACCCATCCACATCACTGCATGAGAAAGATGAGGGAGTCCCTTCCCATAAAGATTTACAATCTCAGAAACCTAAAGAGACTGTTCTACACCATTGAGTCAGAATGTACTCCAATGGCAGTGGGTAATGAAATGCTACTAATGACTGAAGCTAGTCTTTGGTTCCTTTTTCTTGCCACTTTTTACTTCATTACTCTGTATGGTAGTACTCTGTTCAAGTATTGTCTCCAGTTCTGAAGTTTTTAACTTGTCTTTGAATGGAATTGTTATTTCCAGTGTTTTCTACTATTATTGTTGTTGTGAAATGCCGTCGAGTCAATTCCAACCCATAGCGATCCTGTATAGGGTTTCCAAGGAGCCGCTGGTGAGCTTGAACCACCGACCTTAGAGTTCAAATAGCTTTGCAATCTGGCACATTAACTCACAGTGCCACACCAGGATAGCCAGCTGTAATGAGTTAACTTGCAGGTGTAGCTGGTAATATATCCTACAAAGTTTATTTTTTTAAAAACATTTTCCAATGAAAGTTAATTCTTTAAATAATTCATAGAAACCTGAACTTAAAAAATACAGGTTTACAGGACCCTGGTGGCAGAGTGATTAATCATCTGGCTGCTAACCAAATGGGCAACCTACCAGCCACTTTGCAAAAGAGTGATGTGGCAGTGTACTTCCATGAAGACTATACACTACCCTGTGGAGCAATTCTACTCTGTCCTACAGGGTAGCATGACTCAACAGCAATGGGTTATAATATGTTTAGTAAGTTTATAATCTACAATGGCAGTAATGTATAGCATAAAGTCACCTGGTAAGAGCTGGGGAAACAAACACTGAAAACTTAACCTCTTCTTAATGGGAAAACTACCATTTATCTTAAGTGTTCAAACATGTATACAAGAATACCAGTAAACAAGACTTTTATACTGTCTTTTATTAAATGCAGATGCCAGTGTATATAAAACAGTTACCCTTGTGAAATAGAAATTCATGAAAATTCAGAGAGGTAGATGTTAAGGATTGACAAAAGTAGAAATTTGTATAGTATGGCACATGTGTTTAGAGGCAAGTTTTTATACAGGCTTCAAAATTTAGCTTTCGTTTGAATATTCACTGGTTCATGGCAAGTGGTTTAGGGAACCTGAAAATGGAAAGAAAAAGTAAATTATGTTCAAGTATCAGAGAACAATTATTTCTCTTTTATATAAACTGTACCCTTTATTTTTCAGCATTAATAGTATGTCCTGTATTACTGTTATTTATTTTGAATGTCAATTTATAAAGTGCTTTCAATTTAATAGCCTATTCTCTATATTTTTTTGAAAAGTGAATACTAAATACATCACAAGATTTGTAGGCAAAAACGAGAAATAGGATATGTGAAATGCCTCAACTCCTAAGTAGGCAAACATTCACAACCACTCAAGTATGTATCATACCTGTTTTATAAACAGATGTAGAGATTAACTTGCCAAGATCATGGTCAGAATACCCTCAAGTATGATTTAAATGGGTTAAAAAGCTTAATATAAAAATATCTAAAGAAATATCTGACTATCCCTAGAAAATATTGTAAGTACTTAAGAGGAGCAGCACCATAATATCTAGTAAAGAAAAAGATTTCATCACAGTTCCTTTTACCAAGACAAAGCTATATACAAAGAGACGTGCATAAGGATTGTGATTACAAAAAACCTGTAAACAGCTGAAAAGATACTCAATAGGGGAATGGATAAATGTCACCATGAGCCAGAACTGACTTGGTAGCAACTTACATGGCAAAATATTGTATACAATTTAAAGAACTAAATCTACGTGGGTCAACACACACACACAAACACAACTACATTATGTCTTTAAAACCAAGTGTTACATTTTAAAATAAAAAAATACAATAAATATTTGCAGTAAGAACATAGGCCCATCAACTTGAAAAGTATTTTAACTGTTAAGTTGTATTTTTAAAAAATCAGTAGGACAAACAAAACATTTAATTCAAGATGATGGATACATGATCATCTTTGTACTTGGCAATTTGAAATTATTTCCTAAATATAAAACTTCAGGAGGCATGAGTTCTATGGTGAAAAAAAATTATCAAAGATGCTTAGTCTCACGTAAGAGATTTGAATCAACGCAAATTACATGAGAGGCAGAAAAATCAGTGTAAAGACTAAAGTTTGGCAAAGTATAACCTTGACAGTAAGTAGTTACTTGTGTTACTGAAATTTTACTAATGAGTAACTTTACTTCTAATAATTATCTTTAATACTGGTGAAGTACAAATAGTCAGGTACCAAGGCACTCACTGCAGGGTAGTCTCCAATTTAGTGAAACTTAAACTTTCGGTGAGGTCGATTAAATTGCAGCCATTAAAATTTTTACAAAGAATAATGAAATAGGAAAATTAGTACATAAAAAACTGCACACACTATAATCTCCAGGTTTTAAAAAGAACAGTGTCCATTAAAAGAAAATATAATCTGTTCCAACAGTGGTTATGTGTAGGTGTAATGAAGCATTATGATTTTTTTTCTCTTGTATTTCTAGTTGCTAAATTTACCTTTTTATGTGTCTGTGTTTACATTTAAAAAGCATACAATTTCTTATAGCGACTTATAGCGACCCTATACAGGGTTTCTGAGGAGCAGGTGGTGGATTTGGCCTTGTGGTTCATGGTCCACTGCTGATCCTACAATGCCACACAGGACTCTCCATGAGTATTACACACTCAACCTTACATTCACACCACTCAGTGTAGACCTAAGACCTGTAAAATCAATATAACCTGGGTGCTTATTTAGAAATGCAGATTCTAGAGCCTCAACTCAAAACTACAGAATGAATATTTGCATGTTAACGAGGTAATCTGTGGTTATATTACAGTTTGAGATGCACTGCTCTTACATCCAGATATTCTTTTCCTACAGCTTCAAATCATATACATACTTACAAGACTGGTCCTATACTGTTGGGTTTGTAGCCATTATTTAACTTTGAAATTTAGATTCTTATAACCTTAAGCAAGTCATTTTAAACACTTCTCCCTAGACTTCTTCTGTGAATTGAAACTATTAACAGCTGTCCAGCTTCTTAAAAGTATTTAATATCAAATGAAAATAAACTACTTTGTAAAGTGAATACAACAGGAACAAGTTAAAAACCATCTTTTAATAGACCATAAAAATATGAATGCTACAATATTGAATATTGCCAAAGCAAGAAAATATTAAAATGTTCAAAATAAAAGTGCTAGACTTAATTATTTGCTAATGGAGCACATGTTACTCAAAGCTGCTTTTTTACGGGAGTTGCAAAACTCTTGTCATCTTAACCTATGATTGTATTAATGGTAACATGTTGTACTTACACACAGACTTCCTGCACACTCCCAAATCTACAAAGCTTAAGTAGGGAGGACACAACTTTGCAACATGGTATTTTAGGAATCTGTTTCCTGGACTTTGAAGAGTCAAAATGTTATAAAGGGTATGTGTGTCATATACTGAATTTTATTAAGCATCAGTTTAAGATTGCTTCTTACAGGTCAATACTAGTGAATATACCTTGACTGAAGTAATAAGGAGTTATAAATGGCATTACCCTTTCATTATATTTTAAAATACCCAGAACACTTTTTTGGTCATATCTATTTTGGACTACCTATAAATTTTTTCACATGCAACAGCTAATCTGGAAGGTAACTTATGGTTATTACCCGCCCAAAATGCCAAACCGTGTCAGCTTATTCAAGTACTTCCTGATTTTCTCTTGCATTCACAATTCCTAGTTTTCTGTTAATACTGCCCAACAGCTGTGTTCTATTAGAGCAATAACATCAGAGTTAATCCAAATCAATTGGCAGTACAGTAAAACCTGCAAGAACTGGAACTGGCATAAGGTGAAAACCTGTCAGAGAAGGAAAACAGGTATTTCCCACTAAGACTCCTGCTATAGCGCTGTAGGATCAGTACTGGACTGCACTGCACGCCAGAAGGTTGGCAGTTCGAACCCACCAGCAGCTCCTTAGAAACCCTGCGCAGGGTCGCTATGCAACAGAACCAACTTGATGACACTAATAACAAAATGAACAATAGAAAAGTGTTAAGACTACACCCTGTGATGGCAGAAAACATGTTGTTAAATAGAAACTATCTTTGTGACTACTAAAATAGCAAGTTTCCTCAAGCTTCACTTTCCTTACAAAACAGAGAGACTAAAAATTTGTAGAGTGCCAGATAAAAATAAATGGAATGGTCTGTCGACTTTGTACAGTGCTGCAAAGAGAACTGTCTACGTATTTTTTGTGAGGTTTTGCTGGTTTTAAATTTATAGAAACTTACCTTTGAAAGATTCGTTTTACTACAAAAATGAACATACTTTCTGGGGTCTAAAAGGATTTGTACTTGATGATACTCCAGTCAGCAAGGGGTCATGTTGAGCATTCTGCAGACAGAATTGTTTCAAATCTGCAGCTGCCTGGGAAACCTGCATTTAACAAAGCAGGAAAAAGTAGGTGATAATGCTGTAATAAAGGTTTCCTAAAATCAGTCCAATTACTTGCAATAACCACTATTTCTCTTCCCTCAACGAGGGCAATATATTTTAACTGAAGGTCAATAAGCATATACTAAGCCCTTATACTTAAGCCATTGCTTATAAATAATACTAGTGCATTTTTGCTTGCTTTTAAAAACATGAAATAATTTACTACAAATAATTATGCTTATCTGTAAAACGCAGCACACATGCCTAGTAGGCTATTCAACTGCAACTTGAGAAGATTTAACATTTTTTTATTGGAAGTCATGCATGGTATTGGACAAAGAGCATTAAAATTCTAGCATATCACACCCACTCCTCACTTTGGACATGGATAAGGAGGCCTGTTAGCATAGTGGGTTACAAGTCAAGCTGCTAATCACAAGGTCAGCAGTTCAAATTTACCAGCCTCTTTGAGGGAAAACAATAAGGAATTTAGTCTCAGAAACCCTATCCAGGGTTGCTAAGAGTCAGAACTGACTGCGTGGCACACCACTACCACCACCAAGTTCCAGAGACCAGCACACTGTAAAGTTGATTCATGTTACGCAGGAGTCAGACTCTGCCTCTATCTTTAGTGACAGTGTCCGTCCCCCAACACCCTGATCCACTCAGGCACCCCCAGCATGTCTCAGGATGCATGTGGTGCAGTGGGCCCCCTTCCCCACCACCACAGAGCCCACAGGTGTTGGTATTAGTGGTTGGTTGTTACCCACTGCCCACTCTAAGCAAGGACCTGCTCAAACTCCATTAACCCAAGCTGTGCAGCTCTCTTCTTTACCTTCCTGACTCCCCACCCCAACAATCTACCTGACACCTACAGGCCATTAACCAGTCTCACCTGCCTCCTTGTGAGCACATCATCCTGAATCCTCTAGAACCCAACTGAGAAGTTGCAAATAGGAAAGGATCATCACTGAAGCCTCTCATGTCATTCAGAGTAGCCCCACAGACCGTCAGTGGCGCACCACCTCATTATTTTTTCACAATTGTAGTACATATGAAAGGTCAGATGATTAGGTGCCTATTCCATACTTACGAACTATCATTATTTGACCTTTCAAATTTATGACCGTAGTCAAAGATCGGTATTTTGTACATCAACCTGGGCTTTCTCCCTGCATTCAGATCCCAGCCACAGAGCTCCAAATGTCCTCTTGAAGGTCCCATACCCACCACCAGGGCTACGTGAGAAAGAGATCACTAAGGCAGATTTTGAGGTAGCCCTCTCAAGAAGAGCCCTCAATCAAGTTGCCAGTGAAGCTCAGGAAGAGGCAGGGATGGGGGAGGTTACTGCTGCTGCTGCTGCTGATCCCCTCCACTCAAGTGCCCTAGAGGGGCAAAAAGCCTTTAAGAGGAGAGGTTCTGGGGATATTCTGGGGTTGGGGCTGCAGCAGAAGCCCACACCACCACTCTTCGAGCAATGTTAAGACTCGGTTTGGGATTTCAAGCTCTTAAAGGCAACAACAAGGAGTCCTGGTGTGGCACTGTGGGCGAATGAGCATCAGATTTCAGTCATTTGGATTGCAACATCAGTGGTTCAAGCTCACCAGCTGCTCCTTGGGAACCCTATACAGGGTCATGGGTCGGAATCAACTCGACAGCACTTAGCAACAACAAAACCAACAACACGTTGCTCATTTTTGTGGGGTCCTCTTCAGCCTGCAGGGCAACAGCAGGTGACTGGAACTACTAAGGGGGCAGAGGCACATGCAGCAACCGTCATCACTATCGTGACCTGGCAGTGCTGGCTGCCTGAGCCCCAGAGCTGCCAACTGTGCCTCTAGTCATTATAAGAAGGCTTTGAGGTTCAGAGCATAGTGGAGCTGGGGGCAGTGTTCTGGGGATCCAAGCTCCAGGGCTGCTTCCTATTTATTAGTCATCCTGGCATAACAGTAATTTTACATAATGACCCAGTTTTGGGAGCCCAAACTTCCTTCTCAAGCACCACTATGTGCCAAATGTATTTCTAGGCACTGAGAATATATAAAAACATTCAGATGCCTGATGCTATGAAGCTGTCCAGGGAATAAGGCAGACAAGGTACTCTGCAAAGAAAAGAGTTGTTTGTTAAACAGAATTGGATGGTCACCTAAAAGGAGGCCTCTCAGAGGTGACATTTAAACTGTGATCCCAAAGACAAGAGAGTCAACCAAGTTTTTCTTTCAGAAACAGCTTTCCAAGCGGTGATGAGTGCTGAGACAAAGGCTGTAAAGCTAAAACAAACTAGCCCCAAAGGCAATGCAGTCATTATTTAACAAATGTTATACAGGCATAATTGTTATTGTTGTTAAGTGCTGTCAAGCTGGATCCAACCCATAGTGATCCTGTATAGGGTTTCTGAAGAGCAACTGGTGAGCTTGAACTACCAGCCTTGTGGTTCAAACTGACATTACAGTACAGCACATTAACTCACAGCACCATAATTAGTCACATAATTAGTGTCCTGGTTTGGACAATTAGGTGTATGGTGACCCTTATCTGTGGAACAGTTTGCAAAGCACTTGTAATAAAAATTCCTATCAACTATACTCAAAGGTTTAAGTGTAGTAGACATTTAAAAAGCACTGTTGTTAAGTGCTGTGGCATCAATTCCAACTCATGGCGACCCTGTATAGGGCTTTGGAGGAGCAGCTGGTGAATCTGAACCACAACCTTGCAATTCACACTGACCTTGTGGCCCAGTGCTTATCCCACAGCTCCATACCAGAACTCATAGATAAAATGTTATTGTTGTTAAGTGCCATGGAGTTGGTTCCAACTCATAGCGACCCTGTGTAGGATTTTCAAGGAGCGTCTGGTGGGTTTGAACCGTTACCTTGTGGTTTAAATCGAAATAGGCACACATTAAATAAGAAGTTGAACCTAGCCATATTTAGCAAAGTATCCAAAGAAAAGCTCATTGAATCCCCGACATAGGCTGCCCTTACCACTTTGCTGCACTTTACATCAGGCCGAATTTGAACTCCTAAGTCGTCTTTATGGTGGCTTTAATGAACCTAGCTAAGTGTACTGGTTGGAGTCCTGGTGTGGCACTGTGGACTAATGCGCTAGACTGCAAAGTTGGTTTGAAATGCAAAGTTGGTGTTTCAAGCTCACCAGTCATTCCTTGGAAACCCTCTACAGGGTCGCTATGGGTTAGAACTGCCTCGATGGCACTGAACAATACAACAGTAGTGGTCAAGGCCAGCAGCTTGAAACTACCAGCTGTTCCACAGAGAAAAATGAGGCTTTCTGCTCCTGTACAGCCTTGGAAACTCTATACAGGGTCACTATGAATCAGAACCAACTCAAGCACATAACCACCACCACCACGAGCCTCCTAAAGAAGTACAAATAACAATGCAGGTGTTAAGACTGCAGTTACTGAGGTGTTAAGAGTTTTTAGAGTGAATCCCTCAGGGTACTTTGGTCTAAAGACCACCTCATTTTCTTCAGACTAATAAAACCCAACTTACTCATACTGTTTTAGCATCCCCCTATTTTTTCTTTTATGATCTATGATATATTTTATATATATATGATCAACTTTTAAAATTTATGATAAATTTTCTATTCTACGATGATAAAGTCACTCCAGTATAAAAATGGTTAGTTTTAAGAAACAGAATAAAACCTGCAAAAGCTGGGAGTCTGTGTAAAGCTGTCAGAGAAGGAAAACACATATTTTGCACTAAACAGAGCTAGGAAATTGGTAAAACTGCATCCTGTCAAAGGGGGTGTGTGTGAGACCTTAAGAAAACAAGGTAGGCCCAGTAGAGTTCCAGCTCTCACAGATTTCACTGTATATGATTTCAAGTTTCAGAGTTAAATGCTGTCAGCACTGACCATAAACCACTGGCATGAGGTGAGAAATTTGGGACCAGAGATGCTGGTTTCAGATTAACACGGGAATCTACAGCGCTTAAAGGGACAGGAAGAAAGGTGGGAAATCCCCTACCAAGACTGCTGGGAATTTCTCTTCTCTCCTGTAAAGACCAAGACTGAGTAATCTAAGTCCCTGACATTTCTACTTAAAGAGAGTAGGAAAACGGGAGGTCACCTTACTCCACAAAACATTTCAGTGAGAAGTAAAGACGCTTGACAAATATAAAATCATCTTGGAAACGGGCCGTTTAAACAGGGCACTTGATCTGTATTATTTTCTGCGTTATTTCTAAATAAGAAAAATTTAATACGTATGCTGATCCGCACTTAAGTCAATGAATTTAGGATTTTAAAAATCAGGACATAACTTGGAACAGCACTTGAATGTCACGCTGTCACAGCAACACACAGAAGATAGCCCCCTAAATAGCCCTATACAAGGTCATATTATCCGGACGCCAAAATAAACAAAACCAATACTGTTCTACCGTTATCACTTTCTCGGCTTGGGAATCAATCGTAGACAGCACCAGAGTGCGATCGGTGCAAACCGTGTACAGGGCGCTGGTGGTAACCTTGGACAAAGTGGCTTCAACCCACAGCTAAAGTTAAGCAAGAATTTGTTTTCAAGTCTGTGTTCGGTGGACAAGAAAAAGTTCTAAAGATCTACGGTATACTTAAATCTTTGAGCGTGTTTGGGGACGATCTGACATGAAAAACTACGTCTGTTGTGAATCAAAAGTCGAATAATACCAAGTCTGACGAACAGAAATGGTGGTGACAAGCAATACAGAGGGAAGGGTGCGGAGGCGCCAAAGCGCCTCAGTTGGCAAGGCTGGCTAGAGTCGCAGCAGAGGGAGGGACTCAAGGAGGAGGACTAGATTGCGGGAAGCTGCTGTTTAGCCAAGGGGCAAGGCCGCTTTTGGAAGCCTGGGGCGGAGGGAAGAAAGGGGGGACTCACTGGCGCCCTACACCACAGCGCCATCCCGCATTGTAACTTCTCTAAAATTGGTTGCTACCAGGTCGTCGCCGCCCAGCGCGCGTCCTCCCCACAGAGAAGCTGGAGCTGGACACACGTCCTGCCCACGTCAAGCAGCTCCGCCGCCGGATCCCACCAGCCGACGCCTTCCCCTCCCCCTCGGCCCGCCCGCCCCCGCTCACCTTCACGCGGTTGAGCCCGGCCTCCAGCCGGAGCTGCTGAACCACCTTTTTCATAGCGGCGACGCTAGAAGAGCCAGACATGGCGAGCAACAAGGTTGGGCGCTCTTTCCCGGATCGGTAGCTCGGCGGGCGAGTGGGCCGGGCCAGACAGCAGGGCAGCGCGCGGCTGGGGGCGGGGCTCCGAACTTTGTCTCTAAGTTTCCGGTTCTTTGCCGAGCGGCTCCACCCACACTACGCATGCGCACCCTGCCCTAGTCTCAATTCCAGCTCCTCTTTCCCCCGTGGGAGCGCGAGTCTAAGGGAAGAGCACAAGTGAGGGCCGTGGCGGGAAGAGGCGGAGCGGACGGTGGGCGCGGCACGGCTGGGGGCTAGTAGGACCGGATACCCCGCTCTCACTCTGCAGAGAACTGTTCAGAAGAGGTAAGGTACGAGACTACAAGATCTGAGAGGAGCCCTGAAGAGACCTATGAGGGAAATCAGATGCCGACGTTTATAAAAGGCTTGAGGAGGTGACAAGGAGGTCCCAGTACTTCTGTCGGAAGTTGAGGTAGGGGGAGCTTAACGGAAGCTTAGGAGATAGAATTCACCGGCACACACCGCCCGATGCACCGAAGTGACTCTTAGTGACCCGTTTGCCCAACGGGCGTCCCATCTGCAGTCCTCTTGCCCCACTGCCAGACCCTCCGCGGCGGAAGGAGGGCGCGGAAGTCTAACCGACTGTGGGGAGCCGGGCGGCCTGGAGAGTGGGATTCTTTTTGGAGAAAGGAAATTACCCCAAGCACCGTATCTGTGTATATATGTGTGTGTGCATGTATATGTTTATAGATCCTTTACCTCCAGTAGGATAAGCACTGGACTGCTAACCACAAAGGTTGGTGGTTCCAACCCACTTGCCGCTCTGAGTCGGAAACTACTAGAAGGCACTCAGTAACATGTTTTACCTCCGGAATCGGTTCTGTGGAACAGGTTGTGAAGAAGCTAAGGTGTTAGTTGTAGAGTACACCTGCCTTAGTGATCCATTTCATTTGGGATATTAACATTAAAACATGTTTTTGTGTTTCCAGAAAGTTTGGTCATTTCTATTTCCGTTGTGATTTATTATCTCCTGCTTGAAATTGACCATAAAGAAGTATTTCAGGACAGTCTTTGATGGCTGGCTACCAGGAGTGGGAGGGAGGGAAGAGTAATTCACAGGCTAGAGGGTAGACGCATGTTAGCTTGGGTGACTGAGAGAGCAATATACCAGAAGGGAGAGGACAGTATATAGGAAGAGGGAAGGTGGCAGAAGAATAATGAAGATAGTTGAAGACATAAGGGAGATACGCATGGGCTAAAAGGGATAGATATAAATAGTAATACATAAACAACCTTAGGACAACAGTGTTCTGGGCATAGATGACATGGATTGAGACAGGCTGAGTGGGTATGGGAGGAAGAGTGAGACATAGGTTGAATGGCTAAGGGAGAAAAAGTGAGACATATATTTTCATATCCTGCTAATATATGCTGCTAATTTATGAGTTTGAAAGAAAAGTGAAAGATTCTTTGATGGTGTCTAGAGTGGGAAGGAAGAGAGTGTAGTTCACTGGTTATAGGGTGGTGGTGGTGATTATGTGCCTAGGGTCAGTTCCTACTCATAGCGACCCTGAATAGGGTTTCCGAGGCTGCAAACCGTTACGGGAGCAGAGAGCCTCATCTTTCTCCTGCGGAACAAGTGGTAGTTTCGAATTGCTGACTGTGAGATTAGCAGCCCAATTGGTAACCACTACACTACCAGAGCTCCTTGTAGAAACGTGTTAGCTTGAGTGAGGGGAGCACAACATACTACAAAAGGAAGGGCAAAATATACAAGAAGAGGGAAGTTGGCAGATGCATGATGAAGCCAAGTGAAGACAGCAGGATATACAAGGGTTTAAGGGGGTAGAGGTAAATAGTGATGATACAGACAACTTTGGAACAAAATATTCTATGTGTGTAGCTGCATGGACAGAGACACATGCTAAATGATTATGGGAAGAAGAATAGAATCCATGTATATATGTATGCATGTATATGTTTATATGTAACATTTGTTTGTCCCACAGATATACAAGAGTGTGAAAGAGGAAATTGTTAATGAGTATTTACCTTTCCTGCAAACACCACTGTGAATGTGGTGGTGCACTGTTGTTGTTAAGTGCCATGTGGTTGGTTTTGCCTCATAGCGACCCTGTATAGGGTTTCTGAGGAGCATCTGATGAGTTTGAACTGCCAACCTTGTGACAGCTCAAAGGAAGGTAGACTCTCCACTGAGTAGTATCCAATCTGTCTAGGCGGGGCTGATGAAATGAAATGTGGATGGGTCTCTTATGATACAATAGTGAATAATTGTTATCAGGACTGCTTGTGAGAGATGGATATGTAAAGGTAGACATTTTGTAGCAAGGAGGGGAGTGATTAACTTTCCAGTCTAGGAGCAGAGGTTCCTAGGACCATCAACGGAGAAGAGCGGAGAGTGGGACCCTACCCAGAGAAGCAGTGATGCCTGAGATGAAGGCAGAGACGATGACGTGGAGAGATGGAGCAGCTGGAGACTTTAGATTCACAGAGGGAGAGGGGCTGTGCTGATGACTGGGGGGTGGGGGGGCAGGGGGGTAGGCTTGCAGGGTATACCCTTTGGTTGGTTGATGATACATGGAGGGGATTATAACCATGGCAATGAAACGATACCTGATAGGATGAATGTAAAGCTAATGTTCTCCCATGTAAACTATCACATAATTCACAATAAAACATTTTTTAAAAAAAAGAAAGGCCAGGCTTACTGGTCTGAAAGAGAGTAAAGAAACCTGAGACTGTGGCCCTCAATCACCCTTCAGGTCTGGAAAGAAACACACCCTCTTTGATCCAAGCAGTAGATAGATATATAGGGGGAACAACACTAGTACGATATGCTCACTATGAATGATAGAATGGTCAATCATTCAAACTCAAAGGGGCAACATGTACCTAAGGACAATGGTGAGAAGGGGTGGGAAGGTGTATGGAAGGGAAATAGGAGCCACAGGGAGGAAGCAGATGGCTGTTGTTCCATAGAGGGGATTGTAATCATTGAGATGAACCAAAGTGTATTCTTTGTTGAATTTAAAACTGATGATCTTGTCTGTAAACCTTCACTCAATTCACTATAAAAAGTATAAAAAAGAAGTGTTTCAGATCACAATAAGATCTAACTGAACAAAATAGACTCAAGCATCTTCCACCTATGGAAATGTTACACAGCTGCACTTCAAACATACTTCTATTCTCTTGTTAGATGCCCTCAAGTCAATTCAGACTCATGGTGACCCTATATACAACAACTGAACATTACCTGAACCTGTGCCATCCTCATTCATATGTTTGAACCCATTGTTGCAGCCTCAGTGTCCATCTCGATGAGGGCCTTACTCTTTTTCACTGAGCCTCTACTAAACAATATTCTCCAGAAAATGATTAACTCTGATGGCATATTCAAAGTATCTAAGATGAAGTTTTACTGTCAACCCTTCTAAGGAGCATGTTTTCTCTGTTTCCAACACAGGTTTCCTTATTCTTCAGATACTCCATGGTACTTTTAGCATTCATCAATACCATAATTCAAAGATACCAATTCTGTGGCCTTCCTTATTAATTGTCTAGCTTTGACATGCATGAGGCAATTGGAAATAACTTGTTTGGGCCAGGTGCACTTTACTTCTCAGGGACTTTGCTGCCTGTTAGCACTTTAAAGCATAACAGATTTGCCCATTGTAATACATCATTTGATCTCCTGACTTCTGCTTCCGTGGACATTGATTATGGATCCAAGTAAAATTTAGTCCTTGACAACTTCAATCTTTTCTCTGTTTATCATGATGTTTACTGGTCTAGTTGTGAGTATTTTTGTTTTATGTTTAATCCATATTGAAGACTATAGTCTTTGATCTTCATCAATAAGTGCTTCAAGTCTTTTTTGCTTTCAAAAGAACAAGGTGTATCATCTGTGTATAGCAAGTTGTTAAAGAGTCTTCTTCCAACACTAGTGCCCCTTTCTTATAGTCCAGCTTCTTGAATAATTTGCTCAGCATACAAATTGAATAAGTATGATGAAAGGATACAAACCTAATGCATACCTTTCCTGATTTTAAACCATGATTGTTCTATTGAAATGACTGTGTCTTAGTTTATGTAAAAATTCCTTCTTAGCACAATTAAATGTTCAGGGATTCCCATTCTTAGCAGTGTTATCTGTACTTTGTGATGATCCACACAATTGAATGCCTTTGTGTAGTCTATGAAACACACGTAACATCATTCTCAAAATCTCTGATTTCAGACAAGATCCAAACGATATCAGCAATGATATCCTGCATTCCGTATCTTCTGAATCTGGCTTGAATTTCTAACATTCTTCTGTTGATGTGCTACTATGTTCATTTTATCTAAATTTCTTGGCTTAGATGAGCAAGAGAGTCCAGCCAAGAAATTTAGACAATAGTTACCTGGCTAATCTGATTGGAAGCACAGTGCTCATTTCAACAGAATGTGGAAATTACAGACATTATCATTAATATCAAGCCCAAATAAAATTTTACTGAAGATAATTAAAAATGAACACAAAATTCAAAGAATATGTTGTTATTAAGCACCATTAATTCGGTTCTAGCCCATAGCGACCCCATATAGAAGAATACAAAGAATCAATGTACCAAAAAGAATTGGTTAAAAGTCATCCATTTAAGGAGATAGCCAATCATCAAGACCCAGTGGTCTTTAAGAGAGAAGTCTAAGCTTCACTGAAGGAATTGACAAGAAAAATTAGGCTCCAAGAATTGACAGAATACTAATTGAAATTTTGCAACAGATGTGTAGTCAATAAAGTACAGGTAAACATCCTTCTGATATTCTCTGCTTTCAGACAAGATCCATTGGACATCAGCAATGATATCCCTCGTTCCAAGGCCTCTTCTGAATCTGGCTTGAACCTCTGGAAGTTCTCTGTCAATGTATGATTGTAGCCATTTCTGTATTACCTTTAGTAAAACTTTACTCGCATGGAATATCAAGGGGATAGTCTGATG